TTTAAGACCAAAAGAAAATCCGATGCCAAAGGACTGACGCAGACGGCGAAAATAATCGACCACATGCGGACACTGGTTATGCTTGCCCTGGGTTAGGCAAAATATGTAGGTCACAGTTGGAGCTGCGCAGCCACCGGAAATACTCCATTCCTCACTGATCTTCGGACTTGAAGAAAAGCCTTATTATATATATATATATATGTTTCTGTGGCATTTTACGTCTCGAGAGATGATCTTTTCCCTTTACAACTTCTTGTGTGACTAAAGAGGCCAATCCTTGATACACAGCTGCGGTCACAGGTTGGGCATATGTAATCACCAGGCGCCGTTGCATTTTCACCATTCTTTCTCCTTCTGTTGAGTATAGCATCTGCAATCCTAGACCCGATATATATATATATATATATATATATATATATATATATATATATATATATATATATTTATATATGTGTGTGTGTGTGTAGGTACCTAGGTATGTAGATAGATAGATAGATAGATAGATAGATAGATAGATAAATAGATAAATAGATAGATAGATAGATAGATAGATAGATAGATAGATAGATAGATAGATAGATGAAGAGAGAGAGACAATTATTACTATATAAATTTTCATCCTCTTTAAGAGAAGTTCAATTTCAGAGATAGTCTACTAGATATAGATGTATTGATATACTATTTAAATAGAAAAAACATTTGAACAAATACAATTAGTGTCTTTATCTAGTCTATTTTTTTATGTATCTGTGGTACAAATATATCCGTTGAGTTTAGTTTCAAAGAATATGAAAAACACATATATAATTTACTTGTATGCTTTATATACGCATAAGAGGCAGTGCGCTAAACATTGTGTCATTAGCCAGTGTATTTATTTAATAATAATAATAATAATAAATTTAATTTATAAAGCGCTGTTAACAAACATAATTTACGTTGCAAATTAGAAATGTATATCAATTAAATCTAAATCTAGACTAAATAATTTAATAGTGTAGGCTGTAATATCTGTTAGCCCAATGTTATATATACGCTTTAAGTCTGAGTCATGTGCCCTTAACTAATTAGAAAAACTGTAGCTTTATACAGTTTAAATCTATATTTAACATGAACGGCTTGATTAACATTTGGGACTTCGTATTATTAATTCTCTGCTTTAAAAAAATTTGTGTAGAATAACATTTGAATTTTTTAAATATCTTCCCAAGAGAGCTAGTCATTGCTGATTCGTTGTAAGCTTATTGTGTTGCAATCGCTTAGCCTGCACCTTGTTCATCTTCATACTTCTTGAAGATAGAAGGAAAAAAAAATACCTGAAGAAAAGACAACCTCCTTTATACATCTAACAGAGCTAGTAGTTCCACGTAACGGAGGTGGGGCGATCATTTTTTTCACACTTTTGTGTAGTGTTAAGAGATAGGCGCGTCCAGTCTAGGTGTAATATATATAGGTCTGTGATCTCAATGATTCAAGTGATTGGCCTTTAGATAGGGATCACAGACCTATATATATATATATATATATATTATACCTAGACTTCTCTCTCTGTCTCTCCAATTCTCACTAGAACCTCCTTTTTGTTTTAGCCATCGCATCGTTATTATTCTCTGACATAGACTTTTGACTTGAATTGGATCGACCCGTTTTACAATGCCCCTCTCCTCGACACACGCACGCGCACATACTTTCTGCCGTAAATTAAAGTAACACTTTTACAATGTGGCTAATAAAAAATAAGGGGATTTAGTTTAGGGAAAAGGAAAGAAAAAAATATGATTTCAAAAAACGGAAGACCTGTATGTGTATATAATAATAATAATAATAATAATCTTTATTGTCCGTAAGGAAATTCGTCTTACAATTTGTGCATTACACCAAACAAAAAACATTATAACTATAAGAAACCAAAGTGTACATTCACACCAGACTCACTCATAATTTACATGTGACAAAGTTTATATCAGTTTGTTTGTATTTAATGATTTGATTGCCAGGGCAACAAAAGAGTGTTTTTGTCTGTTTGTCTTTGCTTGACATGTGTTCAAACAATTCATTGTAGATTTGTATATATATTTGTAATTAACTAGCGAGCTCCATTCAATTGTTTTTATTTGGCTTTTTGTATCCAGTTTTTTTTTTATTGTATCAGATTTTTTATTGTGACAGTAAATTATCAGCTTCAAAAGCAACACATTCAATGTGGCATAATCTATTAAATAGATGATAATATAGCGACATCTATTTCATTTATTTTTTCCTCCTGACTTTGTATCATCTCAACACTTTGAACATTCTGTTTTCAATAGTTTGTTGTGTACGTTCTTATTTGTGACCTATTTGTTGGCGACCTGATACACTCAGTTCTTTAACATTTCGGCTAAATTTAGATTCATTCTTATCCTATAATTTTTAGTATTGAAAATATGGGGAAAAATTAATCTTATATTCCACATTCAGTTTTTGTCTTCTTTAAAATGAGCGGTTTCTTTTAACGTTTATAAAATACTCAGAAAGACACAAATAAAATACTCAGAAAGACACAAATAAAATACTAAGAAAGACACAAATAAAATACTCAGAAAGACACAAATAAAATACCCAGAAAGACACAAATAAAATACTCAGAAAGACACCAATAAAATACTCAGAAAGACACAAATAAAATACCCAGAAAGACACAAAGATAAAAGCACATTCCTCGTTCCATATGCTAGGACAAATTTGTACAAATACTCCTTCTTTTCTAGTGCTATTAGAGCATGAAATGGGTAGCCTGAGCCAGCCAGGAAAAGTAATGACTTGGCAGAATTTATGTCATTGGTAACATGCATGACTAGATTGACCTAGGAACACTCGTAAGACGTAATCATCTTCTTTTTTTAAGTAACTTCTGTATTTCATAAGATATGCTTAGATATGCACTGTGTAACATTCATTGTAAAATTATTTCAAATTCCCATCAATTAATGTTAAATGGTGGCTATTTGTATTCATATTTTACAAACTACTACCTCAATTTTAAAACTACTTTTATTGGTTGTAATTATGACATGTTTGAAGAGTGCTACACGTCATACAGTCTTTTTCAAATCTAAGGCTGCTTTTTTTATAAACTCATATGAATGCTTTGTTTTATAAAATGTTTTACATGCTTAGGATGTTTCTTCAGATTCTGAAGATAATTACATTTTAGCCCAAATCTCCCGCAGGACGAAGGGGAAGGCAGCAGGCAAGGCTCGAACACGGGACCTTCGTGACCACCCAACGTCCGTACAGAGCCATTCGGACATTCCGTTTATGTTGGAAGTGTACATTTTCAATGATAAACCTTTCTACATCAACCAATATATTGATCAATTAGCACAGATTTATTAAAATTTTTTTTTTTTTTTTTTTTTTGGTATCCTTTTTGTTACGTTTCTAGGCATTGTTACATTGTTTTTTGTTTTTTTTTTTGACCTGTAGGTTGTCTGCCCCTTGTGTAATAAGTTTTTTATTTTATTTTTCACGGCGAGTCAAGCCACACAGACAGTGACCGGTCCTTGACCTATGTGTGTACCTATGGTTGAAAGGAGGGTGGTTTTTTTTTTGTCTCTGTGAAGAGCGTTCTAGATCTGGGTGTTGATGACTTATTCTGTTCTAGAAATTACTAGATTTGTCTTGATATCGACGCGCGGTATATTATATAAAGACCGCCCGTGTAACGTTGACGGACAGACATACGGAGACAGCCGTGAGACAGAATAGCGGAGACATTGCGTGACCCGTGCGTGGTATACCAATTGATCGTGTAAGTTAAGATTTTTCTTTTTTCAAGGCCTTGCTTGTATTTGTAATTATATTTTCAAACTCTGGTATTGTAATATTTTTACATGCCATTTTTGTAAAAGGGTTTTGGTCAACCCTCCCATTTTGTATTGAGTAAATGTTTGTTTTTTTTTTCTTGCTTTATGTGATTCAGTTAAAAGTACTATTCGAGTTATATTTTATTAAACATTAAGTTGATATTTTACCTTCCGATTTCTTGTGTCATTTTTTTTTGTTATTCATTGTAAGTCTCTGATTAAATTCAGACTTAAGATAAGTGACACAACTACCTTTTTCTATTGTCACGTTCCCCTAGGCAAGCCATTTAAAAGTAGAATTCAATTTGTAATACGTGACATTTTGTAAATATTTTTTTTTTTTTAAAGACCAAATGTATGTTTATTTTACACTTTTTGAAATAAGCATTATATATGCAAATTTTAAAAACGGTTCCGCTAGGTTGTTAACGCCGTAAGTGGTAATGATTTCAAGCCCATCATTACCTATAAATATCTTCCAATGGCACGCGTCACAAATAGCCTCTGACAATCAGTCCAACTCCTGGCCTTCACTTGTGGTTAAGATACTGAGCCTGGCGGAACTGTTACCACAGACAGGAGAAGGAACAAAGGCGAGCAACTGGTGCCTAAACCAGTAAGCTTCGGGCAGAAGGGGCTCGTTAGTCTTGGTTGGCTACCCATCTAGGAGAAGGAATACTCTGAATCCAAACCTTCGCTGCCTTGCTGCTATACCCAAACACAGGAAAGGCTTCGGGAGACAACCCTGAGAAAAAAATCGAGCTGGTGACCCTTAGGCAGATTGTGGCAGAACCTGCGGCGCTACTGATCCCAAACTGTATCATATAAATACTTGAATTTAAATAATCTTAATATATTTAAATTGTTGTATAAATTGTTAATAAAAATGAAGACTAAAATGTTCTCTTTACATTTTCAATTTGTTTCGTTAGTTTATTATTTCATGTTTCGTAATATCAAAAATGGTTTGTAGACATTTCGTTGCGTTAGGCTGGAATAATTATTTTTCAACTCAATCACTGCAGTTTAGACAACAGATAATGAATGTAAGCCCTTAAAGTTTATTTAATGTTTGAAAGTTTTGATGCATTTAATGAGTCTCTAGATATAAACTTAATAAACATACAAATAATAGATTTAACAAAGTCGCAGGTAAACAAAATAATAATAAGTTTATTTACGAACACAAAAAAACGAGAAAATTCAAAATTGAAGGACAGATCCAGATGACAGAAATTAAATGAGTGCCCTCACTGAGACACGCTTCTGTCTGGTCTCAATAACACAATATCTTAAAATAACGTTCACACCTTACATAGTCATTAGAGCAGGGCCGGCCTTAGATAATTGGAGGCCCTAGGCGAAGCGAAATGGATGACCCCATATGAAATATTTAAAAAAAAATGTAGAACCAAAAATATGCTATGATTTATAAACCGTCCTGTATCCCAATCTAAATCAACCAATAAGTTAACCTGATTTAGCGCTAATGTGTTTCATGGAGGATTCATGATCACCAGAGTAGAAACAACGTTTCACCAAAAGGAAGAATCAATGGTCTTCTAACATAGGTAGTCTAACAAATAGATGTAAACATTCCACAGAGTTCTGTTATGTTTGAGATTTAATCCATGTTTCTCTTAAAAAATTTCTTTTTGAGTCCCTTTTCTAGGCCTCCACCAATCGGAGGTCCTAGGTGGCTGCCTTGTTTGCTTACGCCTAAGGCCGACCCTGACTAGAGTTCAAACCAAAAACCTCTGACATGTGAGGATATCATACTAACTAGAGACTATGTAGACATATATTCACAGTAACCAACATATTCATAACATGAATATATAAATTCTACTTAGCTCGTCCTAGAAAAAAAATAATTCCATCACAGTGGCACAGTCCTCTTAAGTAACTAGGTCAAAGCAAACCAACAAAAAGAATAATGTAAACATAGTTCAAATCAATGTACGCTGGTCAGCTTTATTAGAAACTCGTGAAAAAGTGGCGTCAATTTTACACACGAAATAGGGACGTCACAGAGAGATAAGTAATTAAAAAGAGAAACCTAATAATAACTTTATTAGAACAAAGTCCCGAGAAAATATTTTTTTTTTTAATTTTATTTTATATCAACACTCCTAACTTAGCTTGCGAACTCCTCATGAGTAAAAAATAAATAATTTTTATATATATATCATAAGCGTAGCCGGGGGGGGGGGGGTTGGGGTTCAACCCCCCCCCCCCGAAATGAAACGGAATTAAGTGACTGATTTTTGCTTTCATTTTGTTTATTTTAGGTGAGATTTTAATACTAAATCATCACTTACCACAGCACAACCGAGGGGGTTTTGAGTTAAAAACCCTCTACCAGGGGGTTTTGAGTTTAAAACCCCCTACCAGGGGTTTTGAGATTTAAAAATCTCCTATCAGGGGGTTTTGAGATACAAATCCCTCTACCAGGGGGTTTTGAGTTTTAAACCCCTTACCAGAGGTTTTTGCAGTTAAATCCCCCTCTTCTATAAAACAAAACAAAAAAATGCAAACAACAATTCCAACAGCACAGTTAAGGAAGATTTTGATTTTAAACCCCCTCCAAAACTTACGATAAACCCCCTCTTCAGTATAAAAAAAAGCAAATTACACACTCAAAATTCAATGAGCGTAGCCAAAGGGGTTTTGAGTTTAATTCCCCCCCCCCCTCCAGTTGGGGTTTGAAGCTAAAAAGTACCTGTTCAATACAAAAAAAAAAGCAAATTACACACTATAAAATCTATGAGCGTAGCCAAAGGGATTTTGAGTTTAAAACCCCCTGCCAGCGGGGTTTGAAGCTGAAAACTACCTCTTCCATATTTAAAAAAAAGCAAATTACGCACTCAAAATGCTATGAGCGTAGCCAAAGGGGGTTTTGAGTTTAAATCCCCCTCCTCCAGATGGCTTTTTCTTTAAAGTTTAAAACCCCTCCAGATGGTTTTGAGTTTAAAATTCCCCTACAGAAAGTTTAGAGTTGAAATATTATTTTAAAGCAAACTACAGTCACCAAATTCTATGATCGTAGCTAAATGGGGTTTTAAATTAAAAAAAAAAAAAAAAAAACTCCAGAGATTTTTTAGTTTAAAACCCCTCAACGGATGATTTTGACGAAAAAACTTTCCTTTTCGATATAAAATCTAAAGCGAAATACAGGCATGTAATTCCAGGAGCGTAGTCAAGAAAGGTTACAAATTTCTACCAGTGGCTTGGGCCCCATTAATAAAGTGTGAATAGTCTTCTGCCGAAATTGAAAAACACTAAATGTGGCTCAACAAAGATGGCTAAGACTGATTTTAAGGAGTCAGTCATAGAGATCGGGTCTAAATAAAAGAAATCATATGCCGAACTGGAAGTCGAACCCTTGGTAAGGTTGTGACAGAGCGTCGCATGGGGTTTTGCGGGACATGTTCTCCGACAAAATGAGTTACGCAAAATAAGAGTTGCGAAAACAGCTTGCCGGAAAATCCGCCGAACGGCGCGAGAGGGTCTAAGTCAGTAAGAATAGCACATTAGGTTTTTGAAATAAAACTTTTTAATAGCAAGATAATGCACTGTAGATAACTCAGAATATGCATTTTGTTGGCTTTCAATACCAGAAATAGTGCTCGGCGAGGGGCTTCGCAAGGGCGGGGAGTCTACAAGTTTTCCACTAATTCCAGGAAGAATCTATTCTAGGGCACAATTAACGTCTTCCGAAAGGGTCAGAATGTAATAAAGATTAATATGTACACACACACACACACACATATATATATATTTTTTCCGCGGGGGGGGGGGGGGCGGGGGGGGGGGAATCCACCTCAACCCCCCCCCCCCACCCCACCCCCCCGAAAAAAATCCTGGCTACGCCCATGATATATATATATATATATATATATATATATATATATATATAAACTGAAAACTGAAACCAGATGGGTATTTTAAATGCTTTAACTATACCTTTAAACTTGACAGTTAATGTGTATTTGGGGAAAAAAGACTAGGTTATTGGTCACACAGTGAATACTGGTTTGACCGCTATGATCTTTCAAAAAAAAAAAAAAAAAAAAATCATCTTAAAAATGAAATTGAGCTTACATCTTGTTTATTGTGAACACACTTTGTGGTGGAGTACTCACTCGACTACAATGCTTCTTTGTATTCAATAAAGAGCTGGTTGGATAAATTAATAGAAATACCTGAATATTCAGCGTACCGTCTATTATAAGCAGATAGATTCTATAATATTGGATACAAGGGACTGCAAACTAGAAGGTTAAACAAGTTAATCTTGATATGATGGATAAACAATGTCAATAGTAATGGTGATAATTACTTTCTGTCTCTCTTAAAAGATAAGTTATCTTAGTAGCAAATACAAGATACAATAGCTCTGTTAACAATCCAACACACTACATTCAATGTAAAGCATACATTCTCACATGATGACGCGGCTACACATATAAAGTATCGACAAATATACTTGTTTGTATTATATAATTATGGAATGTAATTTATCAAACTCTGTCTCGCCATATCAATGTTGATCGCATCATTTTTTAATTAGACCATCACAGGAGAATTTATACTTCTTGTCCTCGACTCTTTCAGAGCTCATTTCAATAAGCAGCACTTAAGTTTCTTTGCATAAAGTACCACATACAACATATAAATAAATAGTAGGTTCTTTAAAACTGGCAATGTTAAGCAATTGATTAACATAGCACATCTATACTATAATATGGAAACTTGTAAGATCAAATATCAAAACAATACAACCTTTTCACCCGTGAATTATAGTAGTTCTAATGTTAATGCTACATACGATATATATGTATATATATATACTTATATATATATATATATTTGGTGTACACTGGATAGTTGGGCTCCTGACGAATATTCGACCTTTTTTCACTGTTCGGCCATATTCGGCTCCGGCCGAATATCACTGCAGGGTAGTTGGCAGACTAGTATAAAAAAAAAAAATGACACCTTGTACATATTTAATATGTATAAACTGGACCTCGTTCCATTAATCTCTGTTATAGAATGTATTAACGTCTATATTAAAACATAATAATGTGCTTAAAATAGAGCCAATATGAATATGTACCTAACATCTTTTATTATAAAGAAAATGCTTGTTAATCTAAATATAAATTAACCTTTACATTTTAAATGCGCTTTACATACAGAGAAGTAATGGCTGGCACATTTTTTTCTCATTTTTTTCTTGGCCTTTGAGTGGGTTAGTTAGCATGTAAAAATGTTATATTCCTTGACGACGTCACGCTGACCAGACGTCTGTCTAGCTGTGCGGGTATATCTCCAGACTGAGTCCAGAGGTAGAGATCAACAACTCCCACCCCCTTTTTTTATTTTAGTCCATCACATTGAGTTAATTGATAGACATGTGACCTCAAGTCAACTACGATGGACGTATGCACTCTTTAGAGGTCACACGAGGGAACTGGGTTTGTTTACATGGTAGTAATTCTTAATTAGGGGGCTGGACGTCAAGCCACACTTCTACAATGAGTTTGCTTATTTGGAGAAAAATCTCAATCAAGTGGCTGGACTACAGGTCATATCTATCTATCTATCTATCTATCTATCTATCTATCTATCTATCTACCTACCTACCTACCTACCTGTCTGTCTGTCTGTCTATCTATCTATCTATCTATCTATCTATCTATCTATCTATCTATCATTGAGTTAGGGACTTATTCTTTCTTTCTATCATGTTATTATCATACGTCTATTAATTTTGTTGTCATTTCTTCTCTTTCATCAATTCTCACAGTTTGTCTTTGCCTCACACAACCATTCTATCTGTCTCTCCATCAAGTATAAACAGCCACAACTGAAACACACATTTTTTTTTCAACAACAACAATGACAATATCAAATCAATAATATATGTACTTAATGCCTTTTTCCTTTGGGTAATGGTTTCGACTTTTTTGTTTTTGAATGAGGTCTATCCCGGTGACAAGAGTGATCGCGTAAGCTTTGAATCACTTCTGAATTCCAGTCATCCAGACATCTTGACCAATCACAATAAAAGCAGTGAACTATCTTGTCCTCGTGGCCTTAGTTTAAAAATAAAAACAAGTATTTATTGGAGCTAAAACCTCTGTGCTTGTTTCACGGCAAATATTAAGACTAAGACTATAACTTTCCTTGCCTATCCCTTAGTCTGTTCGACCGTTGGGGCAACATTCAAGATTTGTCGACCGTATTTCTTTATTGATCCTTATTGGAATGTGTTGTAAGTGGGAGCGTGGTCGAGAGGCAAAGTACGCTTGAACTTGGCTTGGCTACCTATGAAGGGGGCTTGAGGTTTGACACCCGACTCAAGAAGAGTTGTGTTAACTGAGCGCCTAAAGGCAGCACGAAAACCTTCTTCCAGATACCCCTTTCCCTCTCCCCCCCCCCCCTCCCCAATGTAATTGGATCAGAGTGCTCTGAGCATTTTATAAGCATGAAGGTAGCGCTATATAAAAGCTATAATAATTATTATTATTACAAACTTGTTGTGATTTAGTCTTGCAGCTATACCCAATCGGGAGCCAACACTGAGGAAAAATCAGGAACCAACGACCCTTAGGCAGTTTGCAGCACCCTGGCAGAACCTGCAACGCCGCTGACCCCAAACTGTATCGGCACTGCCGTTCTTTTGGATACATCAGCTCAGTGGAGGGGGGGGGGGACTGAGGTGTGGGCGACACCGTTCCCATGACAGCTAATACCCAGGCTTTCATCTCATTACCATGAATCGCTTGACGCCTGAAAGAGGTCATATATACATACCTGTACAAAACAGTCCCTTTTCAGCCCATTCTTGAATCCATCGATTCCCATTGACGAGTCCCAAGTTGGTAAAAGACTTTTTCCGTTCTGATACAGAACTAAAGTTGTAACTTACAAAGCCAGTTCTTTTAGATAGTCGTTTAATTTGATCATCTAATTCAAAATCAGCATCGTAACAAGCATCCACCACTCTGTTGTCTAAGTTTTAAAAAAAGAGAGAAAATAAATATATCGCCGCTAGTGTATTCAACAAACAAAAACAAACAAAACATACAAACAAGCAAAGAATTTAAAAAATCCTTAATTTAAAAAAAAGCTTATCAAAGGGATATCTCTCAAAAATGTTGATGTTATTTCTCTTATTCGATATCAAACAGAATAATTA